AAGTTTGACATACTGCCACTGAAGTTGCATTTAAACTTCTTAACCAATTTTCGCTGAAAATTCAGCAGCCAAAGTTCTTTTTTTTTTTAGCCCTATCTCCAAGAAGTGGTACAATGTCGGGAAGAAGCCTTAGCTTGACTTTAGATTTTTTTAGCAGGATATTTCATGACATCCCTGGATTATTAAAGTATTGAACTAGGCTAGAATTTCCAAAATACCGGAAAAATATAATAGCGGTTTTCGGCATTCAAAATAGTTCCCCAGGAAAAAAAATTCTGTAGAATTTCTATAAACTTTTGAAACATATAACCTATAGAAATTCTATAGAAATTTAATAGAATTTTTATAAAATGTCTATTAATTTCTATAAAAATTGCTATAAAACTTTTTTTTTCTATAAAAAAAAGTAAAAAAAAAGTTCTATAAAAATTTCTATAAAAATTAACAAAAATTCTATAGAAATTCTAGAGAACTCTATAGAATTTCTATAGGTCGTATGTTTCAAAAGTTACCAGTAACAAAAAACGTTCTTTCGCTGGATGTTGACGTTGGCTGAATTGTTTTGACGTTGACGTTGGCTGAATTGTTTTGACGTTGACGTTGGCTGAATTGTTTTGAGAGCAGCATCAATCTTATTTAAATTCGCTGTTCAAATTCTACTTGTTTCAAATAGCTTAAACTCCTTTAGTATCTCTAAAAATGGATCAGAACTACTTATTTTGGGAACGATACCATCTTTGTTAAAGATTGTTATAACTGTGTCTTTATTTTATTATTGACTTTTTCAGCAACTTCTTTATCCAATGATTATCCGATGATTTGAGATTCAAAATTGTTCAATACTTTGGGAAAATTTTGTTTAACTATCTTTTTTGCACATTGAATAATTGCTAACTTTGATGAATAGTGGAAGTCATTATTACTTTGTGACGTAATTAAACTAGGGTTTTGCAAATATCTAATTAGTGACACTAAATCGTTATTGCGTCGCTTGTTGTTTTTTGCGTTTTTGCGCTTGTTGCTTTTTGCGTGAATCTACCATCAACACACTTAAAGTTGTTTGCTCAGAAAGATTTTTGAACAAACATATATGAACACCTTCGCTGGTCAGAATCGTTTGGCTTTCCTTACTTAACATCCTATTCAATTGTTTAGTTATCCCTCCTTAACAGTCAATTCAACAAATCTGTTTTAGAAGATATTTAGAAAATATCTTCTAAAACAGATTTGATGTCACCTTGAACTGTTCTGTTTCTGCTTCCATGAACAGTTTTCTCTATGATATCATTTAAAATGTCGCTGCGATTAAATCTCTTAAGATAATCAATCATTACAACCAGCCATAATCATTGGATTCAAGATAATCATTGCCATTACAATCGAAATCATTATCTTTTCCCAAAGAATAATTCTCAAGATGTTCTTCGGATTTGTTTGTTTTATCACTCCATAAGCATCTTTATCGATGAAAACCGTGATTATGACTAATTAGTAGCTTTATTGTGAAAAGTTACATGTATATACCTTTTAATGGAGATGTAAGTCCATTCATCAACAGTTGATTATAACAGTACCTGCTATGATAAACTTTTTATCACATTTTTTCAAAACAGAAATTTCATCACACAGCTCTTGTTTTTTCATCTCGTAAAAATGATTTAACTTTTTGGCATTTGAAAACCACGTTTCTAAATAAACTCGCGTGTTGCATCGAATTTCGTAATCGTTCTTAAAGAAATACCATCCTTTGCGGCACATTTTTCTAACAATTTAGCCAAAGTTTCACGATTAAAGAATCCGTCTACTTTCATTTGTTTTTCCGGAACTTCTGCAACAGATGTTTCATCTACTTTTTTTTTTTTTTTTAATATTATACTATGGATAATTCTCGTGCAGGTAATCAGACTAGATATGCTCAAGCCTTTACACTTTATGAAAGAATTGCACAGGATACATTTTGCCTAATTAGCTGAATCGTATGATGTTGTAAAATACTTCCAGACTACAGTAAAATACTGCTTTGTTTTAGCATGTTTTTTTTGGTAGTTGTCTTTTATTGGTTATATATTAAGTAAAATAAAAAATAAATATAGGACAAATAAAAAGAACGTTACTTATAAACATATATGGTTTTATAGTATGTACAGCAATAGTATGTTAGGAGAAATCTATTTTTTTGTATTGTTTAACAAGTTTATTAAATATAAATATTCCCTATAATGCTAAATAATTTGTTCTTTTTCATATATAACTATTCTTAGGTTTAGCGCTACGACTGTTATATACATTCATTAAAGAACTTTAATGAATGTATATAACAGTCTTGCTTATGCATAAATAATAATTGTAATCTTACGATTGTTAACGTAAAAAATCGCTTTCGTTATTAAAAAAACTTTGTTTGATACCGAAGCACTAGTTGAGGCCAAAGTACCGGATCGAAGTGTCTTAAAATATTGTTAGCGTTATTTAATCAACTAATAATTAGTTTCGAGATAAAGTCTTAAAACCAAGAGTGTTCCGAACCTGAGCATGCTTGTAACCCTCATTATTAGTTTCATTTCTAAGCAACTTCGATTAAAATGCTCCTTTAACTAGCAGTTGCAGTGAAGCGAGAATAACTATCAATATACTTATATGGATACTCTTACAGCATAGTAATGTCACATTGACATAAGTCAAACATTTTCTGGTAATAATAAAGCTTTGAACTTTTTTCTGGTTTGTTGAGGGTGCCTTCCATGTGTACGATAAGCGCCTCTAAATTGGTGTATATTACGAATCTAGACATAATGTGTTTTTTTAGGATCCTATACATCTAACAGTAGCAGCAGGCATTAGCAGCAGCAGTACTGCGAATCCTTCTTGCTTGCTTACGTAGATTGTGTACAAACCTTTCTTCTATATAAAGACGTAGAAAAGATGTTGTGTTTTGACGCTCCAATTTTGTAACAACACAAAGTTAATGCTAAGAAAATTCTTCAATATTATTAACGTACTTGCACGAGCATTTGGAGTCCATTGGGTTTTTTGGAGATAGGATGAACAACTAGAAGAATCTGCCGTCATTATTCTTTACGTTAATGAATGAGCACTTCGTTATAAAGGTGGACATTTCAATGTAGCTTGTCACGTAGAATGGACGATGTTAAGCAAACCCAATAAATAGTGACTAGCAGCAATAGAGTGGTTAACCCGTGCTTAGTAAACTTTTCCATCCGCTTGATAATTTTAGATGGAGCCCTTCAAGCAGATACCTGATATCATTTCTATTTAATGGAGAAATGGCATCACACCGGAGATAGACAATCTGCTTTACTGTATCATCTAGTTGGTTATCACCATAAATATTGCCAACGCCTAAGCTCTCTTTTTCTGTTTCATCTACAAAGATCAGCAAAACTTTTTGGCCATCATTCTGGATTTCATTTTCTAGGTGACGCTAGATATCATGGCATCCATGAATGCTAGTGCATCTTATGTAAGATTATGTCAGGAGAAGTGTTCCTTTGAAAGTCTTAAGAGTACCAATTTGATTATAAATAGTGAAGACTGGTAACTCTTTGGTTGGCTTTGGCTCCTCTACAATATATCCTAGCACCGTAAGAACGTATTCCAATCTTGATCAGAACCGATTTCATCAACTCTTTGTAGGCCAGGGTTTGGGTATCTGTGGTGCTGGAATGTGTTGCACTAACTTTGGTTTAGGAGGGAACTTTTGTTTAATCTTTAGCAAAAGACGTTTTTTAGGTTTATCTGGTTCTGTCAGGTTTTTATCGCTGCATGCTACTAAGCAAAGGAAATGATAGAAGATCCTTAAAAGCTAGTATAAAATTCACCAACAATAAAAAATCCAAATAAAATTTTTAACTCACTAGTCTAGTTTTTCTGGCGCTTAGGTAAAAAAAAATTCACCGCGACTAGTTTTGTTTCTGGTGCGTGTGTTTAATGCATGAGTTTAATCGGCGCCTCACCTCACAGGTATGTTTTTTATTGCTACAAACACAAACGCATATCCTAAGATTTTACACCGTTTTACCAAACATCAAATTGTTCATTAGCTTAAAGTAATCTTTTCAAAGAGTAAAATAACTTTTGTTTTTATCAATAAGAAATCAGTAGAATAGCAGAATTTTTTATACAGTTTGTGCAATCCTCTTTAGCTTCTACTGTGTTTTTTCAAGACATAAATGCATACTGGCAGATGATCCAGTATAATGAGTGGATAGAATCTTATGGTCCAGGAGCTAATGAGGTAGTGGATGAAATTGAAGGATTATTGAAATCAATGGAGAAACATACGTAGTATTTGGATAGGACCTTGGTTCTGTTGTCTTGAAGATCCAGAGCTCGGAGATGACGAGAAAGACAAAGTATGTAAAGTTCTTTCTCCACAACCTGTACAAAAGCTTCTTAAGTATGAAAATTTACATCTTCTAAAAAATCTGGACTTTGCCCAGGAGAAACTGCTAAGCTTGTTACATTTAATTGGTATAAACTCGTGGTTTATTTTGTTAAACATGAGTAAGAACAATGATAAACATTGGCTGAGCTGTCCTTCATTTTTCTGAAGCTTTTTGGACCAATTTAAATTTTTAAAGAGTTTGTTCATGGATTAAATGTGATCAAAGACTGCTCTGAATAGGTAATCAAGTCTCAGATTTTCTTGTTTCTGTTCACAATGAAAATGGTAGACAAGATATACTGTTAGCCGTTCGGCAAAGTAGGGGCCTTTTAAAAACGATAACATTGCTATATATATATATATAAAATCAATCAACTAAATATTAAAATTTTGTTTTCAAATATTGAAACTTTGTTCAATCTGAACAACTATTTGATTATCTTTTTTTGTATTTCTAATTCTCCTTTACAGATTTCTTTTTTACCACGACTCTTTCACATTTCTCTGTGAGCTTTCATTGCTCAGTCTACTGAGCAAGGCAGAAGCAGCACATAAAATAAAATTATTAATTTCTTATTTCATAAATACAAAACAATTTTTAAGAATGAAAATATCTATTTAATACAGTAATATTATATAATACATATAAATACTTTTCATTAAGATCTTGTAACTTTAAATGTTGCCATGTTACACAAATATAGTAGAGTCTATAATATTTAACGAACAAGCCATTTGTTTAAAGATATCTTTGGTCCAGATATCGATGGTTGATGTTTGAACGCTGTACAAAAATATCAAGCTTTATTATACAATACCATATACAATTATATATTGTATTTATAAAAAAACATGTACAAATAATACAGAAAATTAAACATTAATTTTAACAGTAAATAATATATTATAAAACTGTTAAATGGCCTAATAAAGTTTCTTATAATATATCTGTTTGTTTGTATGTCTGGATTTTCCATTACCCGGAAAAATATTTATCTCGTATTGAGAAATTTAAATTTACCTAGGTTTATAGATTAAAAAAAAAAGTGTCGCGACTTTCAATTTTAAGTTAAATTTTTGTAAACTAGTTTTTAGTAAACCAATGGAAGTGCATATTATACTACTGTACTATAGTTTTTAGTAAACCAATGGAAGTGCATATTATACTACTGTACTATAGCACACTCTCTAGAATTTCCATAATTAAAACTGCCACATTAAAATCAAGGAATTAAAGTTATCATCACCTAATCTGTTTTTATTTTCTGAAAAACAACATCGTGGCTAAAAATCTTTTCCTGACTCTTTCCACCGATGCTAGTTTGTTAACAGAGCCTAAAACAAATTTTAAGTATCGTCTTGGTAACTTCAAAAAAAATATAACTTCTATTTTCAAAATACTAGATTCAGTCTTACATGTGGGATTAGCTTGATGCTGTGATTCATTAAATTTTTTTCTTCAATTTTCACAGTTTGGTTTGCTGCAAGTGTAACCTTAACTTCAAAATCAACTATTAGTTGTTCATCTACTTTTTGTTCAAAAGTAAATTTAACGCTCTATCTTTAAATTTTACCCCAATTTGTTTTTGTTACTCATCCAGGAGTTTGGGAGAGTTTAAATAATTTATTAGGCGCACAAGATTGGGGGTTTATCGCTTTTTTAATTTTAATTAATTCACTTCCATCAATCCTGCAAGCAACCACTATTAAGTTTGAAGTTATTAGAAAACAAAGAATATTTTTAAAATGCAATAAAACAATTGACAAAAGACTTGAAAAGTTGTAGATTGTATGAGTCGGGAAAACACGAGGATGAGAGAGTTCTGAAGCATTGATGTGCGAAGAAAAAAACTAGACGAATAAAAGTTTTTAGAGAATGCATGGACAGATTCAGTAAAATGATGCAACTTAACTGAATGACAAGTTAAGCGAGAATGATTTTTTAGTTTATGAAATTAGAGATGATAATTCGTTTGAGCAATTACCATGATAGCATTAGTAGAAAAGAGATGGTGGGATAGCGGCTCAAGCTTAGCAAATAGAGCAGATCCAACAACATTTATAAAACGTTTTTTTGGACCTAGTCTGTAAGAGAAAGAGCATCATTGGAAGAACCGACCTAAACATGAGAAAAGTATTTTATACAGGGACAATTAAGTGATATTAGTATAAATTTTTATTTAAATATCGAATTGAATAAGTAGAATGTTTAAGTGAATAAGTAGAATGTTTAAGTGAATAAGTAGAATGTTTAAGTGAATAAGTAGAATGTTTAAGTGAATAAGTAGAATGTTTAAGTGAATAAGTAGAATGTTTAAGTGAATAAGTAGAATGTTTAAGTGAATAAGTAGAATGTTTAAGTGAATAAGTAGAATGTTTAAGTGAATAAGTAGAATGTTTAAGTGAATAAGTAGAATGTTTAAGTGAATAAGTAGAATGTTTAAGTGAATAAGTAGAATGTTTAAGTGAATAAGTAGAATGTTTAAGTGAATAAGTAGAATGTTTAAGTGAATAGAGTGGAATCAGGAGTAAAAAAATAGCGAGCACAATAAAGAGAAGCAACCTTAGTAAATGCTAACTTTTGTAAAGAGAAGCAACCTTAGTAAATGCTAACTTTTGTAAAGAGAAGCAACCTTAGTAAATGCTAACTTTTGTAAAGAGAAGCAACCTTAGTAAATGCTAACTTTTGTAAAGAGAAGCAACCTTAGTAAATGCTAACTTTTGTAAAGAGAAGCAACCTTAGTAAATGTTAACTTTTGTAAAGAGAAGCAACCTTAGGAAATGCTAACTTTTGTAAAGAGAAGCAACCTTAGTAAATGCTAACTTTTGCAGTAAATAATTATTTTATTGAGTTAAAATTCACAAGACACTACAAGCCCTTTAGCAAGATCATTAATGTAGATAAGAAATAATAAAGGACCAAAGAAAGAATCTTGCAATACCCCATAAGTTACAGTGAATGAAAAAGAGTGTTGGCCTCGAGGATGACTTTAAAACCGTGGTATAAATAAATGGTTTAATAATCTCAAAACATTTCCCTGATACACCATATGAAACAAGCTCATGAATAAGGCCAGCATGTCAAACGTAATCGAAAGCTTTTAATATTTCAAGACTCCATCTGCCACGTCATCTCTGTTATAATTGTTGATGATACAACTCTGTAACATTTGTTAATGACACAACTCTGTTACAATTGTTAATGACATAACTCTGTTACAATTGTTGATGACACAACTCTGTTACAATTGTTGATGACACAACTCTGTTGCAATTGTTGATGACACAATTATATAAACATTCATGACAAGAAGTCATCACTTTTAGATAGCTTAGAACAAGCTAATCTGTTAAATTTGCTAACCTGATCTCTTAAATCGAAATCTTGTTGATTCTTGAACCTTGTAAATCCATCGACAAACAACAGGACAACTGAGTCTTACAATCCATTAAAAGAGATACAATCCATTAAAAAATTACCATCTGCTAGAGTTTCCTCTCTTTATTGTGTAAAATAAATCTCTTATTATTTCTATTATGGAATACTGTTGTCATACTTGGGCTGGTTCTTCTAATGGTGCGATTTTTCTTTTAGACAAGGTCCAAAATCATAAATGTAGAACTGTTACTCAAAATCATCCTCAGCAATGTGTAGATTTTAATGCATTCCACATCTAACTATTTTATAATACAGAATAAAAAAGCATTTCTTTGTTGCATTTCTCTGACTATTATTAAGCGTTATAATAACCATATAAAATTTGTAACCCCCTCAAATTGAGGGGGGTTTAAACTTTACATTGTCACAATATTTGAAAGCTGAGAGATAATAATTTGAAACTTAAAACTTATTGATGAATATAAGTCTAGTTGAGAAAAGTAAAAAAAAAATATTTTATTAATTTATTGCCCCTCACATTTGGGGTGAAGGCAGGATGAAGTTAAAGGGCTTTTTTGTTCCCAGCCCTAATTATCGCAATTTTTTGCAAAGCATCATTTTTTGAAATAAGTATAAACATACAAATTTCATTTTGTAAATTTCGTAAAATAATATTGTTTTAATATGAACCTAGCAAAGGTTATGTTGATATGTTTTGATATGAACCTGGTAAAGGTTATATATATAAATATATAAGTATAAATGTAAGTATATATATACATACATACATACATACATATATACATATATATATATATATATATATATATATATATATATATATATATATATATATATATATGTTTTGAACAAAATTACAGTAACACTGACCAAGACCAAATCAAAGCGGCATTACATTCTGTATTGTTTAAAATGAAGAAATACTGGAATTTGTGTCATCGTGACAAACAAAACAATTTATGAAAAAGTAACTTAGATTTATACTATTTTTATATTGTGATGCATGCGCATTTCTTTAATATTGACTATACCTTTTCTGTATAAACTGATTAAGAAACCATAAAAAATATAAAAAAGCATATAAAAATTTAACATATAAAAAATATTTAGCATATAAAAAAATAATAATGGTTGAATAAACTATTTTAATATGTAGTGTAGGCTAAGCCTAAACTTATATGTTTACAATAACTATTACAACAAAGCAAATGTTATTGTTGCAATGAAAATTTGGTATCTAAAGCAACAAAATAATTCATAAAAACAATACCTTTAAAAATCACATCATCCATTTAATATGTTTACCAAAATTTGTTACAATACTGTTAATGGTTTGAAACAATAATAATTTTGTCTCAAATTGACTTTATTATTACTAAGAAACCAGGTTGCTAATCAAATAAGGTTTTCATTGCAAGCAAACAACAAAAAAAATTAACTTTCTAAAAACCACAGACCTCGTATTATAAATATGCCAAGTTTGGTGAACATATGACTAATAGGTAAAAAGTTATAAATTTTGTCTCAAAAACTGGTATTCTGACCCACTGTGCGATGCTAATTGTGCAAAAAGTGTCAGATTAAGTTAATGCAATGCTTAATAATTGATACATCACTAATGAATATGCCTATAATACTATACTTACAAACTATTAGGAAACAAAAGCATTTAATTATTCATGAAAACAAATCATCCATAACAAAATGATAAACAAAATTAATAATATACTAACACATAAAGAATATATAAATGACAATACTTACCACAAAGGACTATTCATGATAACAAGTATGTCAGTAGAGAATTGTGGTAGTCGATACAACAATAAATTGATTTCAATCAAATTTTTTGTTTTCTAAAAAGAAAAAAAAAAGTTTCAAAACAGTAAAAGTAAAAAAATGTATTTTTTTATTTTGAATGTAGACTTTACAATGATAACAAAATTAAAGAAAATTTTAGAAAACAAAACAAAACAATACTATATATGCATTGAAATGACTGAGAATTGTTTAAAGATAAATTGTATGAATCAATGAAAATCTAACTTTAAATAAACATTTCTACATGTATATCATTTAAAATCTGTGTACTTCATTAAATTTTGTTGCATATTGTTGACCAGATAATGCCCAGGCTTCAGAATGGCTAAAATAAAATCAACAAAAAGTTATAACCATAAAACAGGCATATCAAATAGGTGGCCCGCAATGCGGCCACATGCGGCCCGCAAAACCTTTAATGGTGGCCCCCAACATTTTAATCATTTTATTACATATGGCCGCCGGCAGACATGCATTTCAAAAATGTTTTATTAAAAACAATGATAAAAAAATCACAAATAGTTTTCTGAACTCCTTTATTAAAAAGGACATGAATACTAAATTAATTTTCTAACTTTTTATTAAAATTGAAACTTTGAAAATAAAACCATAAAAAATTATTGAAAAATTATGACAATATATTTGAATTTTAACAATCTATATGAGAAAATAAGGTGGGTGAATATAAAAAAGTAATTGCTTTTACTCAGCGTTTTTGGAGTAATTGTTCAGCTTTATGTGAATAAAGATTTAAGCAAAATCTCTCAAATTTTTTATTTACATAAAGCTGAGCAATTTACTTCAAAAACACTGAGTAATTGCTCAGCTTTAAATGAACAAAAATTTGATCAAATATGGTCAAATTTTTTATTATTGTAAAGCTGAACAATTACTCCAAAAATGCTGAGGAAAAGCAATTGCTTTTTTTATTCACCCGGCATAATAGATCAGTTGTTATTTTGTTGTTGTTGTTTAACATAGAGCTATTTTTGTTTTTTGTCACTAAAATCAAAATGTCTCATTCAAAATCAAGTGCAAGCAGAAAACGTCAAATTGATTTCAAAAATGCGAACCAAAGTTTGCTTTTTCACCTCAACTTTGATGTTGAAAAAGTGGAAGAAGATCTGCAAATGGAATTGTGATTCTCAAACAACAATTTACTGATGTTGGCGTAACTAAACTTTATTCATTTTTATCACCACATCAAATTCCCAAGATGATTCAATTTGCTTGTCAAATATGTGCAATGTTTGGCAGTACTTATCTTTTTGAGCAACTTTTTTAACACATGAAACGAAAAAAAACCCCTCAGAGGTCCAGGCTTACTAATGAACATTTGTCTTCCATAATAAAAGTGGTAGCTAGCCAAGACATAAAACCAGACCTTATTAAGCATTCAGCAAATAAAAGATGTTGAATTTCTGGAAAATCCAAAATTTAATGTTTGTTATTATTATTACAAAATACTCCTTATTTATTTTTATTGTGTGAAATAAATAATGCAAAATTAAACTTTTGTACTTTTTTTAATAATATTGCAGTGATTTGAGAAATTTCAAATATAATTATAATCTTGTTTACTTTACATCAAACCTTAGCAAAAGGACAGTTTGGGTTGAAGAGTTGCACTTCATTCATCAGAAAAATAAGTATTAGCTTGAGTGGCACTCACAACATTTCCTTAGGCTAAAGAGGCCCCCATACCAAATTGAGTTTGACATGCCTGCCATAAAGTATATACAAAGTAAAAAAAAATAGATTTAACAAAATTAAGTTACTAAATGTTAGTGAGTTCTAAAGCAATGCATAAAAATATTATCAAATTTCATCAATGATATAACCACAGTCTTTGACTACACCTTTTCAAGATATAACTGAGAAAATGAAAGTTTTAATTAAGAAATTCTAATATGTAATTGAGAATAAATAATTGTAATTGTGAATGCACTATGTAAGCTTAGAGGTTGTTTTTCTTGGACTAAGTTAATATTATCAAATTTTGCATTTGTATGCACCAGTAATAATAATCAAATTCAAAAATCGTTGTGTTATATGCCAATACACTATGACCTGAAAGTCTGTTATTAAGTTAAATCCATATCAACATTTATTTCACCAAATTTGTTTACATCCACTTTTAGAACAACCTGATCTAACTTGTCCAATTTGTTGGCATGATTTTTCAATAAATACATACAACCAAACAAGTTGAAAGAAAATATGGATTGTCAATTGACATTGTTGGCCATTAAAACAAAGATATTAAGATAATTTGATATAAACCTCAGCACAACAACAATCGCCAATTACCTCAAAGGCAGATTTTTACATTAGATTCTTTTACTATGTTTTTATTACATATTAAACATGTTTTTTGTTTATTTATGATTCTTTCAATGAACTTCAAATAAATACCCAACTTTAAATAATGAACATAATTGAAATAAAGCGGCAAGCATATTACTTTATTTAGAACATTTTGTAAAGTTTTCTCAATTTTTCTATAAAATAAAAGTATTAATATAACTTAATTTGTTGATTATTCAAAAAAAATAACTATGTACTGAAAAGAAATTGAAAATTAAGAATATTTTCTATATACTGGTGATTCAGATTTGAAACATTTTTAAGAAAACCAATACGCTTTTCATTTATATATTGTTGTTCTTGTTGCTACTGCAATTATATGAAAGCAACAATTTTTAATCTTGATTTTTATTTTTTTTTAAATGTAAACATTAAAAATGGATTCCATTTTTAATTAAAAAAAAAAATTTCCAGAAAGTATTTTTTTTTATAATGAGAAAAATTCATAGTGCCCACCTTAAAACTCCTAAACTCATACTGCCCACCCTAAAAAAATTGACACAAAGGAGTTACCATAAAACATAAAAACCAGGTCAGCAATTTTTGACAACCTCAAACACATTTAGGTTATCAGTTAACTCAGCATATAATTAAAAAAAAATTACCTGTTTAAAACCCAAATTAATCAAAGGTTTCCCAGGACTTCAACACGTTTTTAAAAACCATGTTGCAAACTGTTAGAATAAATTAGCGCAGGATGTACTTGATGTACATCCTTGATGTACAGTTGATGTACAGTTGATGTACATCCTTGATGTACATCCTTGATGAACATCCTTGATGTACAGTTGATGTACACACTTGATGTACAGTTGATGTACATCCTTGATGTACAGTTGATGTACAGTTGATGTACATCCTTGATGTACAGTTGATGTACATCCTTGATGTACAGTTGATGTACACACTTGATGTACAGTTGATGTACATCCTTGATGTACAGTTGATGTACACACTTGATAAAATTCTTGTTAAAATTTTTATGATACTACTTCCACTGTTCCACTACTTCCACAATCATCAATCAAATATCAATCGTCAGCATATGAAAGCCTGGTATTGTTTTCCTTCATCAAAATTAAACTTTTTATGTATAAGTTTTATTGATTATTGTAATAAATAATTAAAAATCTAAGATCTTTTACTTTCAGCTGCAGTCCAGCTAGACAGAATCTTGTTTTATAAGCTTTTGGACACCAGATATTCAGCTCATATTGCTACTATAAAACTAATTGCAAAATGCACCATGGGAAATTACTGCTTCTCTAAAGCTGTTGCTTTCTAAAGCTGTTGCTTCACCCAAAATTTGATGAGCAGACTACTTATCTTGGCAATGAAACAGAATTTTTTGAAAAGCAATTGATTTTAGAAAAATGCAATAAAACTGGATAAGTAGTTTTTTCCATGAATGAATTAACATCTTTAACATTGCATTATTTCATTCAACAAATTCAATTTAAAATTGGGATTGTAAAAACAGTTTCTTTAAAACTCTGTTTCTTTAAGATTCTCATTAATCATTCTCTGGTTAAAACATAAAGAAATGGTAAAAATTAAAGCTTGAGATAGAAGACGACTTTATAGAAGATATTTTGCATCTTAATAGTTTGAAGTAGTTTCTGGAAATACTTTAGGCTTTCTCAACCAAATATAAAAAAGGTCTATTTTCCAATCTTTATGCATTCTAACTTGACAATACCTGAGGCAGAAGATGAATGACCTTTAAGGAAACTAAAATGGATTAAAAAAAATGATAGTAGGGCCACTATAAAACAAGAGATTTTGGAACGTCTTTTGGACATAGTGTTGAAAATGAATTAGATACAACTGTCGTAAGACAAAATAATAATAATAGCAATATTTGCTGGTAAAAAAGCAAACAAAAACTGGTATAACTGCAAAACAAATACGAAAACTGGCACAAGTGCAAATGCTCCAAAAGAATTAATGCTCCAAAAGATTTTGCAAACATTTGCATAAGTGCAAATTGGCACAAGTGCAAATTTAGTATAAGTGCGAAGCAGTTACAAAAACTGGTACAAGGGCGAACTGGTATAAATGCGAGTTGGCATAAATGCGTCAAATAAATTTGCAAATATTGGCATAAGTGCGAATTAGCATAAGTGCCAGTATGCCACTTATATAAGTGCACTTATGCCAGTACGCACTTATGCCAATTCGCAGTTATGCCAGTTTGGACTTTTGACAATTTTTGCAACGTTTCGCACTTATGCCAGTGCGCATATATGCTGATTTGTGCTTATGCAGCTTCCCAAAATAAAGAGTATTTTCAATATTAATTTCAAAAATTCTGTTTATTATTCCTAATCAGTAAATATGTTGCAAAAGTGTTATTTAACCCAGATTAGATTTTATTGAAAATATTGATGTAAATTAACAGTATTAGAGATAAAAACATTAACTTGTATAATTATACATGCTTTTAATTTAAAGATATGCATGCTTAAAGGGGGACCTAATTGCTACTTTGCCAAAGGTGTTATGAAAGCTCTCGGCAGACCTGATCATGTCTGAGTAATTTTCCGCCAACTAATCATTTACATTCTGAAGCAGTATTTTTTTTGAAAAGTACTATTTTTAAGATGAATTACTTATAAACTTCTTTAAAAACTTTTTATTAAAATACATTACAAAATTTAAAATTTATTTTATTAAGGCGTTAAAATATTATTTGCACTCACCTTCAAATTGTCTAGTGCTGGGCTTGAATATATATATGTGTATATATATATATATATATATATATATATATATATATATATATATATATATATATATATATATATATATATATATATATATATATACATATATATATATATATATATATATATATATATATATATATATATATATATATATATATATATATATATATATATATAACAGCGACGTATCTAGGCCGATTTTAATACCGGTATACCGGTATGGGCCCCCAAATTTCAGCCCGAACTCAATTTAAAACAGTTTTATATAAGCATTTGTTACGATCACAAAAATACCAACATTTAAAAAAATTTCGAATGAATTTACCTAGTTATAAATACGCTATGTAATAAATCTTTTCAAGTTTTTATCAAAGAGTCATACAAATATTTTTTATTAAACGTTATAGTTATTGCTTGTTTATGAAATCATACTCTTTATATTTCTAGTTAATAATATTTATAATTTTGAATTAAATAATTTAATTTAATAATTTAATAAATAGTATTAATTATAATTTATAAATAGTAAGTGAGTGGAGCAAGTAAATGAAAAGTAGCGATTAACGATGAATTGATGTTGAAGTTGAAGCCGTCGTTCTGTAATAAATGAAACATTATTTTGGTCAATTTTTGTTAGAAAAAACCTAAAATACTAGGGTGAGTTATATATTATATACGAATAATTGAATTTAAATTTTAGTAAAAAAAAAAAAAAAAAAAAAAAAGGTCTTTAGGGTAGACAGGAATTTTAGACCGGTATGCTCAAAAAAATTTCTAGATACATCAATGATATATATATATATATAATATATATATTTATATTATATATATATATATATATATATATATATATATATATATATATATATATATATATATATATATATATATATATATATATATATATATACATATATATATATATATTATATATATATATATATATATTTATATATATATATATATATATATATACATACATACATACATACATACATACATACATACATACATACATACATACATACATACATACATACATACATGTGTGTGTGCATAAATATTACTCATTTGATTTTTGTTTTTAATGGTGACAATTTTCATATTAATACTAAACAAATAATTTCTTACATTTTCATGCAAGTGTCTTCTTTGTGAACTCTTTCAACACATAAAACCTAACAAAAATTAGTTTTTAAATTCACATAAAATATACATAAAATAAATACATTAAAATTTTCTTTGAAAAAAGATTTAATACATTAAGTTAAAACTATAAAATTTCGAAACATTTAAGGAGGGATATACCATCTCCTTACGAATAGGATCACTACTTTTTATAAAGAAGCCGACTCTAAACTTAAAGATCAAGTAAACAGAGAAAGCAAGCAACTTTTAATCATTCCTTTTTTTAATAAAATTGAAATAAATGGAACATCTGACTGCTTTATAACATTAAAACAACCAGAAAAGCATTTTTTAAAATAACCCTACTGTTTACAATATGTTACAAAAATATCCATGTTTTTTTGTGTAGCAATTTATATTAAATATAAACTTAATAGTTATTTTCAGATATTTTAAAATATAGCTAGTTTTTTTGGTTTTTAAAGAATATGAATTTAGGTTTTTTTTTTAAGTTAAATCAAAGAGTATAAAAATACTTTCAAATAGTTTCAAAATTTTTCTTTATTTAAAAAAAATAATCATACATTACTGAAAAATAATTATTATAAATAATGAATTAATAGTTATAATAAATAAATAAGATATTTATTTATGACAATTAGTTTATTTATGACTATTAATTATTCTATTATTCATAATTATTAATTATTCTATTAATATAATTTAATTTTTATTTATATCTATTAATTTATTTGTACATTACTGGTGGTGGTGCTCGTTAATTTCTGCACAAATGTTATTGTCATTATCTTGCTTTTGGTTGACTCTTGTACTGAATTAATAGTTTTACATAAATATCTTTTGCCAATACTCCAATATTTTTCGATGGGCCGAAATTGTGAGAAATTTGGTGAATTGAGCTTTTTTGGTACCAAATTAACCTTTCTCAATTTATATCACTCCAAAGTTTTTTTAGCATAGTAGCACAAAGCTAAGTCAGGCCAAAACAAACAAGTGTCAAATGAGTGACAAAAGTTGCTTTTGAAGGCACTCTTGAATATAAATTTCTGATGTCAAAGTTAATGACATCACAAAAGTTCTTCTCAAATTGCTTGCCATAAAAGCAATTTTTTGCCATATTTGTTCATAAGTTTGTATTAATATTTGTTGCTTACACTGCCACAAATGGTTTAAATATGATAATTGTCACCAAGTTGACTAAAGTCACATTTTATGTAAATCTCGTCATCCATCAAAATCCAGCCATTCAATTTTGTCAAACTTGGATGTTAAGTTTTCATGCTAGTGTTTTGGCAGTGGAATTTTGTTTTTCAGGATGATTTGGGTATTAAATTGCTCAGAAAGACTTGTAGTTATAGCATTTATTCACCAAAAAATCAGAAACTTTGCACTTTTTAGCTCTCTCTCTGTTATACAAGCCTGGATTTCTTTCAAAAGAACAACAAATCTTATTTACAACTGATATGTTGTTAAAATTTTTATTCTTCCTAATTCTTTAGCTTGTTCAATTGATAAAGTCTTCTAATATCGTTTTCCAACAGTAGATAATCATCCACAGTAACCTTCCAACAGTAGATAATCTCCCAACAGTAGATAATTCTAGTAGCTTTTTTTATTATTCTATTTTATTCTAGTATTATTTTAATATTATATTATTGTAGTTCCATGATGAATTTTCTTCATAAACTTGCAAGATTTTTTTCCGATTTTCAAATTGCTTTGATGACATTTTAATAAATTATAATTTGAATTTCTTTTTTTTTATGTTTTTTTGAAACTTTAAAAAATCCAATAGGCAACCCCGGGGCGTCTCTGTACCTGTGTCCCCCTATCCCTGCATCCATAAGCTGGTTTAAAGACAAATTAAAAATATTATAAGTTTCTATTTTACTCATTTAATATCTACATAAAAACAACAATTATATTTTTGGCCAGCTAATTCAATGGAAGGTTCTCACTGTGTAATGTGTACACATAAAAACAGACTAACCCCAGTATTTCATTTATACAGTTTTTAACTCTATAAAATTAAAAACTTTGGAAACTTTTAAAATTTTGGTTGCAACCAAAACTTTAAAAGTTTACAAATTTTTTGTTTTTATTTCTCCTTTAAAGCTTAAATGCTTAACTTTAGAATTGTTCAACTTCAGAATTGTCCAACTAAAGAACTGTTTAGCTAAAGAATTGTTTAGCTAAAGAACTGTTTAGCTAAAGAACTGTTTAGCTAAAGAACTGTTTAGCTAAAGAAATGTTTAGCTAAAGAATTGTTTAGCTAAAGAATTGTTTAGCTAAAGAATTGTTTAGCTAAAGAATTGTTTAGCTAAAGAATTGTTTAGCTAAAGAATTGTTTAGCTAAAGAATTGTTTAGCTAAAGAATTGTTTAGCTAAAGAATTGTTTAGCTAAAGAATTGTTTAGCTAAAGAATTGTTTAGCTAAAGAATTGTTTAGCTAAAGAATTGTTCAACCACAGAAATGTTAAACCACAAAAATGTTTCAAAAGTAAAAAAACAAAAGATATTAAACTTTTATTTTTAAACTTAAATAATAAATTTTTTTTTGTTTTATTAACATAACATTTTTATTGCAAATGGTGAACAAAGTTTATTGTTGAGTATTTTAAATTTGAATAAAATTAATAAAAAGTTAATTTAGGTTTAAAATTTCAAAACGTTTTCAAACAAAATAATAAAAGCCAATATACAAAAACATTTTTTATTTTTACCAATAATTATGATGATTTGACATTTACGAAACAATGAACTTTTTTTATTTTTATCAATAATTATGATGATTTAACAATTAAGCATTGTGCAGTTATTAACTAATAAAAACATGTGTCATTATTATCTTAATGTATAAAACTTAAACATCACTTAAACACAAATACAATATTCAATAAAAGATTTATAAAATTAAAAAAAAAACAGATTACTGCACAATTGTTTAGATAAAAATCACATTTGAAGATGCCTAAGACAACAATTCTTGATACCTGTTAGCACATCAACCACAATCATTTAGCGCATCAACCACAACCATTTAGCACATAAACCACAATCATTTAGCCCATCAACCACAATCGTTTAGCACATCAACCACAATCATTTAGCGCATCAACCACAATCATTTAGCACATCAACCACAATCATTTAGCACATCAACCACAATCATTTAGGACATCAACCAACAGATGACATTAATCAAGGAAAATCCTGTGAAAGGTTAAGAAATAAAACTAAAAAAAAATAACAAAATTATATATTATTTGACTGTAAAAGACAAAAGGATTTTCTCAAACAACTACTTCCTGCTGTGTGAATCTTAGTGCCACACAGTTTAAAGACACCGTCATGCACCTTATTATGAAAGGTTCGTACCTTTTGCAACAAGGTGAGATTGTCAAATCTGTAAATTATTTGTAAATTTTGAAGAACATTGAGTTTATTTGGTTTTGAATTAAAAAGTTTAGAATTACATTTTTCCATGCGCAACGGGGCAACTTACTATCACCCAAAAAGTGCCATTACATAGCTCCAAGAAAATGCAAATAATGTACTTGCCCCATGGCCAGATACTTCACTCAACTTATACCCCATCGAAAACTGTTTGGTAAAGTTGTAAGCAGAAATATCTAACAGAAAACAAAATCACTAGCAGATCTGAGAAAAGTCATAATGAAAGCATGGTGGTAATGAAAGCATGGTGGTAATGAAAGGTGGTATAAAACAATTCCCTAGTATTGCTATTGCTTTAATGTCAAAAAGCATAGAGACTGTTCTAAATGTTTGAAGTACCTCAAATTACTAAAACATGTTTTATATGGTGACATCTTAATTCTATAATGTTCATATGTTGTTTTTTAAACTAACGCGTTTTAGTAATAAATGCGCACACTAAAAAACAATTTTTGGCAATAAATATTTTTTTTGTCCATAACATAAAATTATTTTTAATTAAAATTTAACAAAACAATGGTAAGTAAGAAAATTTACTTTGTTTTCAGATGAGTCATTCAATGATGCAAGATCTTCAAAATAATATCTAAAAATTTAAACATTTATTTAAAAAAGGTAATAACTACCAATTTACAAAAAATTAAAATAAAAAAATGTTTTTAGAATAGTTTTATTTTGTGTTGTTTTATTGTTATACTTAAAAGTAAAACCTATTTAAGCATTGTTATCAATATGTATTTAAGTACCACCTTCTTTATTTCTATATGATTGTTGTTTAGATATCCAAAATACTAATAAGTTAATACAGTAACATAATCAAAGATATATTTAGAATGGCAGCAGCTTTGTTTGGAAAAGGTATTCCAATAAAATCATGTAGTTGATTGTGGAAATACGTTTTTCCTGAAGATAACTCAATAGCAACATGTAGTACATGCAAAGATTACAAAGAAACAAAGAATAAAGATAACAAAGAAACAAAGAAATTTTTTTTAAGTATTTTAACACAAATATGTTGTATTGTATTAATGCAAATCATAAAGAAATAGCAAAGAGTTGAAATTTAACAAAGAAAACAAAAGAAGAGCAGAAAGTGAATAAAATATGTTCAAGAAAATCAAGTCAACTGTAGCAAGTTGTTTAAAACAGTCCCAATAAACTTTGTTTGAAACACTTGAGAGAAAAAAATCCTGGGACATTAATGATCGCAGGTCTAAATTAGTTAATAACTTTATTGCAGAAATAATTGCGGATGATATTCAACCTTTTTCTATAGTAGGACAGGATTTCAAAGATTATTAAATCATATATGTTCTAACAATTACATTCCAAGTAGAAAATACATAAAAAAACTCTGTTTTTCAAAATATATACAACAAAATCAGACAAAATATCCATAAAGAAATAAATTATGCTTCATACATTTCATTTACAAATGATTGATGGATGGGCATCTACCAATGAAAAATGCTCACTTCTCAACTTGACAGCTCATTGGTTAACTAATGAATTATTATCAAAAATTGGCAAGTTTTTGAGTTTGTCAACTTAATGTATTGCATACTGCCAAAAATATATGTGAAGCAATTCAAAGTTCTATAAATAATTTTCTTTTTCCAACATTAAAGGTACTTTTAGTTGCTAGAGATAATGCAGCTAATATGGTGGCTGGAATAAATTCTTGTTTGAACTTATTTTTAATATCCAGAAAATAAGTTCAAACAAGACATTAACACAAAATGGAATAGTCAATATTTTATGTTTAAAAGAATTTCTAAACAGAAGTGTGCTTTAATTTCATTTTGTTGTGACAATGATAACTTTAAACTAAATATTTTAAGGGTATTTGTTTTTGAAGTCTTGAATTTTATTTTGAGAAAATGTCATGTTATTAAGGTTTTTAAATTTTTTTTATAAAGAGTTTAAAATTTTAATAATTAGTTAATCCATTGGTATCAGAATTGGTATTGGCCTTTCCATATCCATTGATATCGGTATCGGCATGAGCCACAAATGTGCAATCGGTACATACTTTCAGAAAAAGAACAAAAAATAGTGAAAGAAAAAATGTCCATCAAAATTCATGCCATTCCAAATCCTCAGTTGATGTAGCGGCACTCCTTTGCGGCAGCAGATTATAAGACAGCCGATGTATGTACTAAAAGCCCTAGCAACAGGCTACTTAAGTGTGATGTCACAGTGCTTATCTAAACATGCATTTATACTTGTGTGTGCGTGTTTGTGTGTGTATATATAAATATATATAATAAAATAATATTAATATTAAAAAAACAAGGTAAATAAAATTTGTGCTTTTTTGGTTATTGGTAACTAGATCTAGATGTCATGCCTATAGTAATATATACATATATATTAGTTTTTTGTGTATGTGTCTTTTATATAGTTTGAGGCAAATGTAGTCAAGACAATAAAGGCTAAGACCAAGACTAAGACCAAAACATTTGGGCTCAAGACCAAGACCAAGACTGAATGCTTCAAGACCAAGACATTTGGGCTCAAGACCAAGACTAAATGCTTCAAGACCAAGACCAAGACATTAAAAAAATCAACCCAAGACCAAGGCTAAGACTTTGAAATTTTCACGTTGGGATCAAGACTTAAGTTCTAAGAAGTCCAACACAATAAAACTCACACATGTAAGGAGTGCTCACACATGTAAGGAGTAAACAAGTTCTATCTGTTGACCAGCTTCGCGCCTCTTCTTTATTTATTAGGCTGACGTAGATGTATTTATAATACATTGTTTCTAGTTTAGAATGTTGAATGCTTGATCTTCTTAACTAATTGCATGGGTTTTGCTTGTGTCTCTGTTTTTATGACTAGACAACTCATTCTATTATTTTTTAATGAGGATACAGCTCTAGACTGCGCAGGGTTACAGTTACCCTGAAGACAACAACTTTAGGCTTCAAGACCAATACCGAGACCAAGACAGTTAAAAATGAGTCTCAAGGCATCTTGAGACTAAGACTTTGGTTTTGAGTTGATTTTGAGGTGACTTAGTTACTGTTTTAGCTCACCTGTATTCTACTTTATATGTATGCTTGTGTTCTGTCTGAACCTCTGGAGCGGTGTTGACTCACCCGTAAGTTGCTATCTGTTTGTGTTCTGTCTGTTTTTGTTAATATGTATGTTTGTGTTCTTGTGCAGTGTTTACTCACTCGTAAGTTACGTTCTGTTTAAATGTTCTGTTTAAATGTTTAAATCTGTTTTGATGCAGTGTGAGCCCATGAACTAACTAGACACTCCTGTTTTGATGCAGTGTGAGCTCATGAACTAACTAGACAACTATTAAACCTATGCTCACCCTAATCTCTAGTATTTTGTTGGGTGTAATATTTTTTTTAACGCATTTCCAAAATATCATGCTTGATATTTTAAGGTGCTGTTTGCAGGAAGTAGGTCCTTTTAATTACTCCAGGTCAGGTCAGGTTCAGGATTCATCATGATCACCCTGCTACTGGGATTATATAACCCAATACCACCTGCCTCATGCCCTGCTGCCTTGTAGAGTGTGCTTTTTCAGGTAAAGGCTAGGAGAAACAAACTCTGACTTAAAAATCCCCTGCCTTGGGTATTTAAGTAAAGGCTAGATATGGTGTCTTAATAAAAATACTCATCTTGGGCAGATGTTAACTACGCCCAGCTACTGTCTCGTAGGAGGCCTCCTAGGCAAAAACTTTAGGGGTAAGCAGAATAATTCTGTTGACCAGCCTCGAACCCTTTCTTCATCTATTAGGCTGGCGTAGATGTAAACCTGTATTACATTATTTCCTGCCTAGGAAGATGAATGCTAGATCTTCTTGACTTTTCTCATAGGTTTTTGCTTTTGGCTCCTTGATAGTGGCTATGCAACTCTTCCTGTTATCTCCTAATGAGGGTACAGCTCTCAAACTCAGTTTAATGGTTCTGAGGCCAGCTGATAGTAAGGTTTCCCGAACTCTGTGGTAGCTCTCAGAAAAGCTGATTCGATCAATAGCTGCAAAAAATCAGAGTATTGTGAGTACAGTGTACAGAGTATCTGAGTACAGTGCCATGTTGTGCATGGATGGTGTCCCTGTTAATGCTTTTGGTGCGCATTGTCAAGACCGCATAAGGAGCCCTAAGTTATGAGCTACGGATAATTAAAAGGACTGAGAAAATTGCATAGCTCATTGCTTTGAAGGCGGTGCTCTATCTATGAATGAGTCAAGTTTTCTTTAAACTTAAATCATGGCAAAAATAAATTAAAATATTAAACATAAAAAACCATCCCCATCACCTGTTTTAATATGTCTTTTACTAATATTCGTGGTCTGCAAAGCAACCTTCCATCAGTTGAATCTTACCTCTCACAAAATTTACCAAACTTGCTTGCTCTTTGTGAGATTAATCTAAATTCTGCTATTGCTTTCTTTTGATTTCAATTTTGATGTGTACTATCCTTTGATTTGCAAAGATTCCAATAGTCTTCTCCATAGGCTTGTTTCAAATGGTGTACCTGGGGAAGTTTTTGAGATTATCAAATCATTTCTTTCTAAAAGCTTTATTATAGTCATCTTTGAAGGACAAAACTCTTCTTTATTTCCAGAAACTTCTGGGGTACCTCAAGATTCTAACCTTGATCCTATTTTGTTTCTTATCTACATTAATGATCTTCCCAATAACCTTACATCTAACATAGCTCTTTTTGCTGATGATTCAACCTTTTATTCTTTGACAAAAAGTCTTCTCTTTTCAATCGCTTTGAACAGGCAGCCAATCTTGAATCTGATCTCACTTCTGTAACAGATTGGGACTCACAGTGGCTTGTAAATTTTAACTCCAACAAAAATCAGTTATTTACTGCAAATAAGCATCGCAGTACTGTCAACATTACTATATTGATGAACAGCAACCCTCTTACTGAGTCCTCTTCTTTACATCTTCTAGGATTATCATTTACTACTAAGGTTGCTTCTCTTTATCCTGCTCATCATTTTTTCTCTCCTGATTCCATTCTGTACCTTTACAAACCTTTTATTAGTCCCTGCATGGAATACTGTTGTCATATTTGGGCTGGTTTTTCAAATGATACTCTTTTTCTTCTAGACAAGCATTGTAAATAGATAGACCTGGTCTACTAAGCTTCTTAAGCCTCTTTCCCATTGTCATTAAGTTGAATCTCTTTCTCTTTTCTACAAATACTCTCATGGCTGATGCTTAAAGGAGCTTTTATCTCTAGTTCCATCAACTAAAACTCATTTTTGCTTGACTTGTCATGCATCAAAGTCTTATTCTTATACTGTACCTTCCCTGCATACTCCAAAAAAATTTTATTTGTCTAGCTTTTCCCCCCGCACTTTAACCCTTTGGAACTCTCTCCAATCTTCATATTTTTTGACTCATACAACCTTAAACCTTTTGATTCTTCTGTCAACCATTTCCTTGCTCTATAACTCTATTCTTTTTTTCTAGTAACTCTTAACTTAATAGTGGTTGCTTGCAGCCTTGTTGGGAGTGAATCAGAATAAAAAAAATAATAATAATAAATAAATATATATATATATATATATATATATATATATATATATATATATATATATATATATATATATATATATTCTTTACTTTATCTTTTTAAAAATTTTTGAACTTTTAAATTACCTTAACATCAAAATTGAATAAAGTTAATTTAGAAAAATAGATTTTTTTTAAAGATGAAAAATTCTTTCATTAATGTAAATTTTATGTTTTGTTTCTATTTTCAGCACAGGTTTAAATAAAAATTCTTACTTAACTTTCTAACATATTTAACTTTAAAAATTAAAACCTGGCCGATTCTTCACCTTCAACAGCTTGGTACTCCACTATGTCAATCATTATGCTTTGCTCATTTGAAGCATGTAAAAAGACTTCTTGATTGTCTGGAATGTCTCTAATCATGCTGAAAACATTAACAAAAATACATAACACACATTATCAAAAGAATCATATGTAGAAAATTTCAAAAGTAAAGTTCAATGGTAACAAATAAATAACAACAACCTTATATTGTGTATTTATAAGTAATATTAGGTTCGCATAAAACACAATGATGTCATACTGAAAGATTACTAAAGGCTGTAGAATTTAGAATTTAGACAGACATAAAAACCAATATATTAATAAAACCAATATCTACTATGGCAAAAAAGTTTTTTTTCTAAATTCTAATTTGTTTTTATTTCAAAAATAATAATGAAATGAAAAATTTAAGTGAGCAGAATAAATTAGTGAATGTTTAAGTAATGTTAAAGCCAATCTTTTGCTTCTGTCCAATACTGTAATAACTTTATGAAAAGATGGTTAACAACTCCTCTTAAAGAAGATGAATCTCTGTTGACAGGATCCAGAACAGTGGATATCAGAAAATTTATTATTATTTATTAAATAATAAATAATAATAATCAGAAAATAATAATCAGAAAGTTTCATCAGTCATGATTAGTAAGTGACCGGGAACCCGGCCACGGCAAAAATATTAGATTTAGCAGGAGTTGATAGACAGGACTAGAAAAAAAATTTATAATTCTTTATATATTATGATTTTATAATTATACTTATACTTACATTTACTATTTATTAAATTCTTGCCTATATTTATACCAGTATTTGATAAATAGGGACAGATACAGTAAAAAGATACAACTTGTTGAATAAGAAGCCAAGCAAGAATGAGTTTTGGTTTACTGTAATAGTGATGATAGCTTGTTTGAGCATTGACCGTGATTGGGGAAAAAGCATAATAGAGGAAGTCTGAAGCCTGCTGCTGCTGCTGATAATGACGATAGTGATGATGATGGCAATGATGATAATGATAATCATAATGACAATAATGATGATGATATAATAATGATGATGATGATGGTGATGCCAATGATGACAATAATGATGATGATAATGATGATGATGATAATGATGATGATGATAATGATGATGATGATAATGATGATGATAATAATAATGATGGTGACAATGATGATGGTAATGATGATGATTATGATCATAATGATGTTTATGATTGATGGTAATGATGATGATTATCATCATAATGATGTTTGTGTATGCATATATATACAAAATATAATATGAATTTAAAAAAATTTTTGTACTTTAGAATGTATAAATGTTTATGCAGCCCCGGTCACAAATCTGGCCCTGGCCCCGGCTATATTTTATCTAACCCGACCCCAGCCTCGGTCAAATATCAACCCTGGTTGTTTACTAGTCATGATCAAAGAAGCTTTATAATTTTGTCTTTAGACTTTCTTTATAATTTATATAAGAGACTTTCAAGTGTCCAAAGACTCCTCTATAAGAACGATTTTTTGAGCCAATGATGGATATTTCCTTCTTTCTATTGTTAATTTTTTTTCAAAAACATGTAAATATACTATACTTTATCTCTTCATCTTTTACAATTATTTATGAAATTGAAGTTTTTTGTACAAATATAACTAAATCCCATACTTGATTGCACATAAAACTAACTCATAGGAGACAATTTTAGACAAACACAGAGTTTACATTGAATATTTTTTTAATTTTACACAAAAAAACATGCAAAGTTTAAAGAATACCATCAAAGTTTAAAGGTTATAAGTTTAAACCTCCTTAAATTAATTTTAACCAATGATGACAAATGGATTGCTATCAATGGTTAAAAGCAATAACTCAATTTTTTTGAAAAAGTAAAAATACAAAATCAATGTTTATAGTGTTACTAACCAAAGCGATAAAAGAGCATTTAAAAACACAAAATACAGTCTTTGATAAGTATAATGATATGTAACACTGATAAGTAAAATATTTTAAACAACACAAATAATGAGCTTGCTGATAATGACAAGTAAAATGTATATGTATATATAACAAATAACAGATAAAACAAATTTATAATAAACAACAATAAATATAAACAGATAACAAATTTTTTTTGTTAAGCAGAGACAGAGAACACTGTTACGCTCGCTTCACTGGAGAAAAAACGCTTTGCACAGATTATACTGCCAAACATCTTGCTACGCATAAAACTGTGTACCTTAAAATATGGTACAAGTTTTTTTAGAGTTCTATTAAGTAAAAGTAGAATCCAGTTTTGCTTCTTGTTGCATTGTTGTTTGTTTTGATTTTTTTTCAACTTTCAAGACAACACAAACTGAAGATTAAGAGCAACTTTTCGTTTATGAACCAAATAAATCAGATACACAAACACTCAAGAACAGATAAACAATTTCATTAACATAGATTTTTTATTTTTTTAAACCTAAAAACTTTTAGGTTTAAAAAAATAAATATATATATATATATATATATATATATATATATATATATATATATATATATATATATATATATATATATATATATATATATATATATATATATATATATATAAATAACACCCTAAAAATAAAATTTTGGACAAATTTTAATTGCATTTATTATGTAATTTATTTCATGCACGCAAAAAACTTTTATACTTATTTGAAAGAGGATTTTATAATCTATTTAAATTTAATTTAATTAAGTTAAAAATATTATTTAAATATTGAAAATAAAATGGTCAAAGTAAAGGACCCCAAAAAAATTATAATTTTTTCCCAATAAAATCGAGAAAAAGGTAAAGCTAAGCAGTTTATGGAATGGGGTTTACCCAGATCAACTGCTTACAATAAAATTGTAAAATTGGAGAATGGATCTCTAAAAAGAAAAGTTGGAAGTGGTCGAATCACTAAAGTAGCTACTAAGAAAATATTCCAAAGATTGCTGCATTTTTTGAAAATAAGTCAGGGTGCACCCAAAAGAAAGTAGCTCAAGTTTTTAACTGTAGTCAAACTCAAATTTCCCAAGTATTAAAAACAATGACTAACATTTGAATTTTCAAAAAAAACAAATCCTCCAGATCCTAGCCATCAGCAGAAGAAAGCTATGCGTCCTAAATGTTGTAAATTGTACGAAAATTATAAAAACTTGGATTTTGTTATGGATGATGAAAGCTATTTTACCTTAAACAATAGCACATTAGCTGGTAATGATAGGTTTTATGCCGCTGATACATCTCAATGTTCTGATGAAGTAAGATACAATTTGCGTAAAAAGTACGAAGACAAACTCTTAGTTTCTTGTTGCATCAGCCCCCGTGGAATAAGCCCTCTTTATATTCATCACAGTAAGCAGGCAATCAACCAGTATACTTATAAAGAGATACTAGAAAAATATTTACTTCCTCTAGTATCAGAATATTATAAAAAAGACAATGTGTTTATCTTCTGGCCTGATCTAGCTCAATCACATTACACAAAGTCAGTCATCTATTTTTTAAAATTGAAAAAAATCAAAGTTGTACCCAAAGAAATAAACCCAGCTAACGTTCCAGAAGCAAGACTAATTGAAAACTTTTGAGGTGATTTAAAACGGCTAGTGTACGAGAATAATTGGAGAGCTGAGAATTTAGAAGAGCTTGAAGCAAGAATTAGATATTGCTATTCAAAGATGAATAAAGAAATTTTCCTTACTCAAATAAAAAATCTTTCAAAAAAACTTATATTGCTAAAAAATAATATTGCTAAATATGGTATTTGAAATAATTATTTTAATATATTTATAAATTATGTATACTAACATATTAACAGTTGAAATATTAAATAATAAAACTTATTAGTTCTTAAAATATCAATTTTTAAATTTTGTCTAAAATTATATATATATATATATATATATATATATATATATATATATATATATATATATATATATATATATATATATATATATATATATATATATATATATATATAAATATATATATATAAAGGTCATATATTTTGCAGACCAGATTTTATTTATTTCACAGACCAGGTTTTACAATTTATAATTGAACACTTGTTATACTTTTCTGTCTGAAAAAAGGAATTAAAATAAAATAATAAAATAAGAAATAGTAGGAAAGTTACTCAACCTAACTGAAAGTTGAATTTGTTTGTCAGTTGAAAGGCATGGAAAAATATAAAATATTTATTAAATGTTAATATATAAGTATAGCAACATTCAATAAATGCTATCAAAAAATTAAGTTATATAAAAATTTTTGAAAAAATAGTTATTAAATATTTTTCTGTATAGTTAAAATATAAAATTTAGCTTTAGTGTTAGATTGCTCTAATTTTTTTTCTTTATATTTTCTTTTTATTCATTTCACTTATGAACATGACATTTTGAAAATCAAGATTAGCATTTAAAAATGTTTTTGTAACAAACCTTGCATCTTGGGAATTTGTAGGAATAAAACATGACAATGCTCCACCAAACAACAGCTTTTCTTTCAATAATGACATTATTTTTAAATTTATTAAAGCTTACATAATCATAAAATATTTTTGATTTTTAATTATATTTTTAACTTATTTAATCATTTGAGGTAATAAGCAAAGGGAACTTTCACTTTATGAATAAAGTATAAGTAGTAAATGTTGATCTTCATTTTGTTATTATCAAGTATTCAAATTCATAAATTTAATGTTGAATATAAAAAAATTAAAAAAGTCAATTATTTATGAAATAAAAATAAAAAAATAAAAAAAACATTTACGAATTAAAACACAACCAATTATTTGTAAAAAGTATTTTCTGATAACTACGATGTTACAATTCAATCGAAACCATAAAATTATATTTAAAAAAATTAGAAAAAAAGTTACATTTTGTGAATAGAACTTAATACAACATTTTAAAAGTTCACTTTTTGTATTGTTATAATATTTTCCATATTTGCCAATATTTTATTGTTATTAATTTTTTTAAATTACTTTAAATTATGTTAGTTGCAAAATTAAATAACAACAAATTATTAAATAAAAAAAATATTAACAAAAAATTATTTATTAACAAAACCATTAGTAATTTTTTTTAACTATTATTTTATATTATATAAAAAAAAAATAAGTTATTCAAACCAAAAGCATAAAAAAAAATCTGATGACCCTATACTAAATTTTATAATAACAAAAAAAAATAATTTTCACGACTTCGTCATTATAAAAAAAATATCTTAAATTACATTTAAAAAAATTAATTTTAATAAAAAAAAAATTTTAACTCATTTTGGTTTAAAATAACCTTCTCAAGGATATAGCGGTTTTGGAGGCTGATACTGAGGTGGAGGAACTTGTGACTGCCCGTTGAAGCCATACGAGTGACTAATATTGCCCCCAGATCCCAGAGTTTCGTAATTAGATTGATTTAAACCATTCGCACCATTTACTGTTAAAAATAAATAATAAAATAAAAAGAGAATAAAAAAATCAAAATTTATTTAGAAACAATATCAAAAGAAAAATATTTTACTAAAAGTTTAAAACACATGTTTAGACAATACCTAAATAATAGTAAATGCATGGAAGAAGAATGCAAATGCATTAAAATACAAAACAATACAAAACTAAAATAATTTTTTTAATTTTTTTTGTAATGTCACAAGACAATACTTTTGTATTTTTATTGCATTTATTTTTTACGATATTATTGTATTGCATTTAATTTTACAATTACAATTACAATAGTCTAAACCCTAAGCTGGGAAAGTTGTTGAAGTTTTAAAACAAAATAAAACAAAAAAGTTAATTAAAAAAACAAAATTTTGTTGAACTTTATTTTTTTGTTTCAATCTAAATTATTCTATTGGTTAAAATAACTTTTTATGGTCTAATAGCATTTTAATTTTTATTATTAACATTTAAAAAGATTCCATAAAAATCAATTTATTCTGTTTTAAGTCTGTTTTACATATTTTTTAAAGAAACTTTTTTTTATGTTAAAAGGTTTTGTTAGATTATTTTTAAATACAGATGTCAGTAAAAAGTGACTTGTTAAATTTTTAACAAGCTAAACACTCTACACCACACATACATGCCCTCTAATACACTCTACAAGATAACCAGCAAACCGTATAAAACCTTTTTAAGAATATTTCATTCTCACTTCCATTTTTTTGTCTTTTTTTTTTGTCTTATATTACAAAACCTAATCTCGAAAATACACAACATGTATAATCAAGTTTCCTTAAAAAAGACTTAGTAACTACTTGCAGACCATTTCTAACTTTTCATTTCACCATTTTAAAAAAAGTCTTTATTTACATATACTCTTCTTTTGCTTGAAAATAAGATTTGATTAAAACTAAGATTTGTTTGAAAATAATGTTTGATTATCATTTCAAACCATTAAATAAATTAAAACACAATAATGATGTTTGTTTTCCATTCAACATAAACATTTCACACCATTAACATAAACATTTTGCACCATTAACATAAACATTTCACAACACTAGCTTAAACATTTCACACCATTAACATAAACATTTCACACCATTAACATAAACCTTTCACACCATTAACATAAACATTTCACACCATTAACTTAAACATTTCACACCATTAACATAAACCTTTCACACCATTAACATAAACCTTTCACACCATTAACATAAACATTTCACACCATTAACATAAACATTTCGTACTATTAACATAAACATTTCACACCATTAACATAAACATTTCACACCATTAACATAAACATTTCACACCATTAACATAAACATTTCACACCATTAACATAAACATTTCACACCATTAACATAAACCTTTCATACCATTAACATTAACATTTCACACCATTAACATAAACATTACATTTTTTTGATTAAAACGAAAGAATAAATACCAAGAAAAACTTACTTTTTTGTTTTAATCAAAAACTTTCTCCATTTTGTTGAATCTACAGACTTGATTATTTATTCAAGCACGTTTTATTCCTTAGAGTTTCAGAACATGACATTACGCAAACAAAAAAATCAATGAAATAAAAATTTTTTTTTTCTTGGTATGCATTTATTCTTGGTGTTTATTAATTTATGCATTTATTGTTTTAATCAAAAAAATTCAGCACAAACATTTTTTTTTTATCATTCTCTTTAATATGAACACAACGTCTTAGAGGTTTGGGATCTCTTTAAAATTTGACAACAGATTCAAATTCAAAACAGTGCTTTAATAATTCTGTTGATAACATTATATGAGCCAACTACAACTTTTGTTACCTGAGGCTTTTTATTAAAATATATATGGTAATAAGAATTAAAAGAGAAAAAATATATACATATCAATAAGTTACAAAACATAAACTGAAATAATACATTCAAAAAACAAATAAAAAACAAAACAAATTAAAATCAAATATATTTTGAAAAGTTTTTGTTGATGTTGATTAAATTATTATTATATGTCAATTTATATTGATGTTGATTAAGGTCACATAAATTCCAAACAAAGTATTTGATGGTTGAATAAGGTCACAAACAAAGTATTTGATGGTTGAATAAGGTCACATAAATTCCAAACAAAGTATTTGATGGTTGAATAAGGTCACAAACAAAGTATTTGATGGTTGAATAAGGTCACAAACAAAGTATTTGATGGTTGAATAAGGTCACAAACAAAGTATTTGATGGTTGAATAAGGTCACAAACAAAGTATTTGATGGTTGAATAAGGTCACAAACAAAGTATTTGATGGTTGAATAAGGTCACAAACAAAGTATTTGATGGTTGAATAAGGTCACAAACAAAGTATTTGATGGTTGAATAAGGTCACAAACAAAGTATTTGATGGTTGAATAAGGTCACAAACAAAGTATTTGATGGTTGAATAAGGTCACAAACAAAGTATTTGATGGTTGAATAAGGTCACATAATTCAAAAACTTTGGATAAAAAATAGTGAATATCAAGTATTGTTAAATACCTGAAAAAAGCTGTTTAAACATGTAATTTCTTTGCTAAGTGAATCACCACATAAAATCGCATAATTATACGTTATACATTAACAAAACAAAAACCTAAATATTACCTCTTTCTTTCAATTCTTTAAATATAAAAAGACCAGCTACAACCTTGAAAATTAATAACATAATGGCCATGCTACAAATAAAGGTTAAGGTAATAGATAAAACTAAAAAAACTAAAAAAAATAATAAATTAATTTAAGTAAAAAAGTTTATAAAACCATAATACACAAGTGTGGAACGATGTGGAACCAACAATTTTATAAAAGTAAAACCTTCAGCAAAGCTTTTAATCAATGCATTTACAACCAACTGAATTGTAAAATATAAATAAGTACATTCAGTACATTTATTTCCAAATAATTTAGCTAGAAGTTAAAACATAAAAAAAACAACTTACAAAGCTAGAGCTTTAAACATAAAAGCTACAACCTTAAACATAAAAGGTAAAGCTATAAACATAAGAGCTACAACATTAAACATAAAAGCTATAACATTAAACATAAAAGCTACAACATTAAACATAAAAACTACAACATCAAACATAAATACTTTAAACATAAAAGCTACTTTAAAAAATCTGTAATTGACTTTGGAATAACCTTCAAAAGCAAAAGAAAAAATAAAATATTTAATTAAAAACTATTTACAATTCCATTCTGAGAGTTTTGTTTTCTATAACTAAAAAAAATGTAATAAATTTTGAGGTAGAAGAAAATTTCAGAAATTTTACTTCAATTTTACTAGTGATTTAAAATTTTTGTTGTGTCCAAAGTATCAACTCCAACCATTTATTAAAAATAAAACCAGTTCAACAAGTAGATTTCATAAATGATTTTTATTACAATCCCATATTTTTATAATCCTATTCTCACATATAAAAAAATATTTAAAAATTATAATAAAAGTTATGAAATTAGTAAAATTATTATGGAAGATGGTACCCGATGTATAGTACTTGTTGAAAGAAAAACACTACTGAAAATACCATCTTTAATGAGGTCATATGCATGTAAATCATAAAATACTATTATTCTGTTTGCTCTGATACAGATAAAAGACATTCATTATATTTTGTAGATAAGCCAAAAGAATAGCTATTATAAAATAGAACTAGACTAGAACAAAAAAAAAAAGTATAGGTTTGAAAGAGTGCTGTTAGAGCAGATATTTGTGTCAAATGCTCCTGATAAAAATCAAAGTTATGAAATTAGTAAAATAGAACTAGACTACAACAAAAAAAGAAGTATAGGTTTGAAAGAGCAGATATTTGTGTCAAATGCTCCTGATAAAAATCAAACTCCATGATATTCAAAAATCATGTGCTGAGAGTATTCAATAAAATAATCAATAAAAACTTTAAATCATTTGCACAACTTTTTTACTCTGTCAAAAAAATTGATATTATGCAAATTTAAACACCCTTAACTAAAACAGAAAAATAAAGTTGCCAGAGCCAGCTTTAGAACATTGGGGGCTGGGTGCAAAAAAATTTTCAAGGCCCTTTTTTGCAAAGCATACTAGTAGCATAAAACCTGGGTACACACCATCAACTTATCATCTATTGAAGCTTTTAGTTCCTTTTTTTGTTCCTTTTTTTGTTCCTCTAAAAAAATTAAAAAAAAAAATTAAAAAAATTTTTATTTAAAAAATTTTTTTGTTGCAAAAACATTTTTAATATAAACAAATTTTTTGAATTTTTTAAAGCAAACTTGTCTATAAAAGAAGTAAAGTTTAATTGTTTGCAAACTTCATGTTCATGTTCCATAGCCAGCAATCCCAAACTGGATAAACATTTTCGAGTCATTG